TATTTTACAGTACTACAGAAGTAGTCTGAAAGATAATGTAGAAACTTCAAAACAGTGCAATAATACTTTCCCTGAATCTTCCTCACAAACCTTATACACACCGATAAAGCCTTCAACACTAGCTCTATGAACAGGATATGTAAAGAACGACTACAAGTTATTTTCACTTTCAGAATTTTTCAAGAGGAAAAGACATACACCAATATCTACTCAAGTAAAGAGAAATAGCACTCAGTGGATAATACATTCAGGCTTGCATTGGACCCACTTTTTGAAGGATACAGCTTTTACACCCCCCCCCCCCCCCCCCCGGCGCAGTTATCTCTAAGACTTTCCCCAAGAGGCAAGAAGAGTACATTATAAGGAGTCTAAAATTTAAGAACATATTTGCATGGTCTGTCAAGAGCCACAGAAAAAGTTCCAAGATTGCATAATCACTGCATGCACAGACCAATTTGATGGGACAGTTCAACCCATGATCTCCCTGTGCAAGATCCCAATGGGGGGGGGGTCAAACCTGTTGATTCCAAAGAAAGGGAAATCATAAGAAAACAGAAAACAATCTTTTCCCACTCACTATGTCCGAAAACCTGTTTGTAGCACACTACGCATTTACCTGACTCTAAATGTGGAAACTACTTTTCCTCCTGAGTCCGGAGACTAGAAATTGTGCCAGCCCTATCTTCCTACTTTGTACAATGGCACGAAACAACTGTTTACAATATTCATGATTACCATCTGAGCCTATGGATCATGGTGGAGGAGATGTCAATACAAAGTTAGTTCAACAGAACCTTGCAGAATGGAGCACACAGACCAGAACTGTGAGGAAACAAACAGCTACTAAAAGTAACAGCTGGCAACTCTAGCGAGATATACAAACAGACGAGAAATCCTTGGTACAATTTGTAAACCTTGTCAGGGTCCCAGGATAAAGAATACAGACTATCGACACTGAAGTACTATTTCTATTCGTCTCAATCACTATGCTGCCAAATGGCTATTTACAAGGTACCTACTCTCTATTTTCATCTCATCAACATTTTTTTTCGTTTTGGTCTCATACAACAAAAAAACCTGTCTGTGCTTCTTTCTGCACACTCTAACAAAGTCAAAACTTTGTTCAACACTTGAAGGTAATGAAACTTGCTGGTCATAATCATGACTGTGCATCAATACTTTACCCAGACTTGTTTCGGTCAATAAAAAAGGGCCAGTCATACAAAAGTAGAAACTAGAAATATATATGTATATATATATATAATTTATAACTAAATATAATTGACACGATAACTGAAGAGATCACAATCCCCAAACACAAATAAGAACAAACCCTTCCCAATCCCAAATGTGACCAATGTATACTACAACACTATGTCCAGGGTATAAAATAATTTCTCAACTCCTACATATCACATATTGTTATGCCAATAATCCCTAAAAAAGAACGTCTAAAAATAAGAAAACACATTTCTTGTGCTTTCAATGTGGAGAAGAAACACAACCAAAAATACTTAAAACTAATTAATCAATCACCTTAATATTAATATGTACAATAGCACAAAAATAAAACAACCAAAATCAATGGTAATGGGTATAGAACACGCAGCAAAGACTATAATCTCGGACTGATACTGTACTCACCAAATATGGGGAAATGTCAACACGTTTAGTTTCCCTGTACTCATGAAATGGATAATGAAACTGAAAATGGTCTGTACAAGGAAATATTTTACAGCTATTCAACCATGGTACGTGCCTTTTCTGTACAACTTTGAAATAGTGCCACACTGCTCCTACAAAAGCACAAAGACGTACACATAAAGTGTGATTTCCACTTTGAAGACTTCAACTGTTAAAAATCCAGAAAAATTAGTTTTACTTCACTATCAAAGGGTAAAATCAAAAGCAACTAGTACTAGAAGACGAAAAATCTTTGTCAAAAGCAAGACTGCTCCGAGGGACAAAGGTACAGACACACAGTACAGCAATCATGATGATGTACTCTCAGAACTAATGAGCCAATAAAGCCAATCCTAACATGGTACCACTGTCATTTATGGAGAGAATATATACACTTAAATCTACCTGGGATTACAGTGTTGCATTCATTTTGTGGTGCACCAAAAAAAACAACCCAACAACAACCAAACAACAAATGACCACAGCAGGAAACCTATCTGGGACTATAGAAGATAATTGGGACAACGCCTCAAGGGGGAATCACAAACAATAATACAATGCCTTACAGAGCTTCTGCCCATGCACATAAATACATGCAAGCAAGTACACTGGCTGCCTGACAAAGTAGAACATGGAATCACTCACGATATAATATGCAGCACAGCAGCCAGCTCTAAGTTGGTAAGAGAATGAAGAAGCAGAACGGTTTTTTTTTACAAAGTGTTACTGTTCAAAGCAAATTTACAACTTTTGCTTTGTGCAAATCCATTTTAACATTCAAATATTCACAGCATACAAAATTTGATATAAGTACAGAAATGGCGTTCTTAATGCATGATTCTCAGCTACCAAAGAAAAAGATTTAATTTTCCTCAGCTTTGATGGGACTTGCAGTAGCTGATATAAAATATTTTAAAAATCAATTAGGAATTTTATTCAGCCAATAGTGGTTGTGATGAAACTAACAGAACATATCCATGGCAGAGCGCAAGAAGTGACTATTTCCACTTTTGGTCAAAATGGAGTAATTGAGGTGGGTAGTGATATTTTCAGCAGCTCTTTTACCTCTGTAAATATCGAAGCTGTAGCTTAATTCGGCATCAAGATATTAATGCTTCTTTTTTTTTTTTTTTTACCATATTATAGAGATTTCAATATCGTCAATATTCCAAACTCGTATTTCTCGAAACTGAAAAGTGGAATATAGTCACTTCTTGCGCTCAGCCGTGCAATATGCTCATCTGTCTTTGGGCCAATCATTTCATTACAACTGTTCAACGCTGACTGTATATCTTAGGAACACAGATTCATAATCTCATCTCCGAACTTCTTTTATGAGACAGCCATTGAAAATATGTTCAGCACTTCAGACCTGCATAAATATGAAAATCATGGACGCTTTCAATAGATCTAGCGTATAAAGCTTTGTGTCCTTCTTCCCCTTCCCTTTTAACCCTCAGCTCCTTATTACAAATTTATATTTTAAAAATTTTCATGGGCTACCACATTTTTCAGAAGTTGCCCTCAACTTTTGAGTGTGACTTTGTTTCTTTTCCTAACCTACCCCTTGATTTCCTTTGGACAAAATGGCTTTTAAAAAATTATGGTTACCAGGAAAAGCTTATCAAGATAAACCCAAGATATAAAAATTGTATCATACTCCAGATAACTTAACTAAACAGTTCCTTTATGATAGACAATTCAATCCCTCTGACTTATCTAAAAACATGGACTTTTGCGTTTAAAGCCTTTTGTGATAGAGCCCTTCAAATGTAAATGAGAAAAGAATAAGCACTTTTTATGCATCTGAATATCTTGTAACATCAAACAATAAAAATATGTAGAAAACCATTCTACTACTGATAAGAGAATACTGACAATATTATATATTTCAATTGTGCCATATGTAGATTACCAAAACTGGCATACAAAAGAATTTTGCACAAAAACACTCAAATCGCTTCTCATCATAATAATTTCTGCTGTAGATTATGGTAATTCAGTGTGATAACACCCATATTCTGCCAGGGATAGATTTGGGCAAAAGAACAGTGTAAAAAATAAAGGCAGAACACACCATAGCAGCAACCACCAACAACCTTCAGGCTACTCTCATCCCACTATCAGAAATACATTTCTCCCCCCCCATAAAATCCTCGTTCTGTTGATACTGATATTATATAAGTTAGAACGCCGGAGGTAAACAGGAGTGTGATCAGGAGTAAGGGAAAATGCTGTGTAGATTGACACATAAGTACACAAGGAAACCCAACCGGGCTTTAAAAACTTCTCATAGTACAGTCGAACCTGTTAAAACCGTATAAGACAATCATAATACAGATGGCAACTTCCCATTTCCGGACTGAACCCCTTGTGATTTTTTCTTTTATACATTTATACTAACACTGTGTAAGACATCCACCTGTCTAAGACGACTGCTTTTCTCCTCGGCAATGGATGGTTGTCATAGACAAGTTTGACTGTTGTCAAACACATACTTTTACAAAAACTTACAATAGCAAAGCAATCTCATGGACAGTTACAATTATTATAAATCCCCAAGCAGCAGAGCTTTTGCCCTTCTGTTTATCCAAGGGACAAAATACTATTGCATGGTTTTACAAGAAAGAACAATTTCAAAGCTGTATCATGAGGCCATAAGAATCATTTTGAAGACCTTAAATAAGCCTCTTACAATCACAAGAACAAAAAGACTGAAAACATGGCTAATCTCTGTCTCTGACAAAATTGCAATAATTTGTAACAGGTGAATTTATTTAGGTGGCAAAGTAAAATAGCATCTATCACTTCCACACAGCATGTGAAGTATAATTACCAGTCATTTTTACAAATTTGTGAGGAATATGAACTCAACCACTTTTAGAAATCGAAAGAGGTTAAAAATTTAAACCCTAAAAAATCAAATTTTCTAACCTAAAGCAAAGTGTATGGAGGGAGGCTAATAAAATAAAAATTGAGAGCACATTGCATATAATCAATTATTTTGTTGCAAAACAAAACAACAATCCTGTTACACCCTGCATAGATAGGCAGTCCCCTCCCTGCATTTTCCTAATACTGGGGGGGAAAAAAAACACTTTATTTTATCGCATAACAAAGAATTATCAGCAGAAAACTAGGAAATTCCCATACTAGTGGTGAAACAGGAGCAGTAGGAAGACAAGGCCATTTCACTCAAGTCAGGAGATGCACCTTAATTAGAAAATGAGTACAGAACACGTTGTACAATTAGCCCCCCCCCCCCCCCCCCAAAAGAAAGCAGGAAGACAACAGCAGACATCAAACACAACAATTGCCAATTATATATGTTGTATATTTACAAAGATTTGTGTGAAAATAATATTCTCTTACAAAACAAGAAATCTTACTATTCCATTCCCCTGCTCCTGTGCTGCCTTGCAATAAATCTGTAGATGTGTTACTGGGAGACTTGCTAACTGAGTAACTCTCTTTTCTGGAAAAAAGAATCACTTTTGAGTTGCCTGATCTAATTCATAAGTGAAAATTTCGTCCGACCCTCCCCTCCTCCCCCAAATCTGTACCACCCCCTTTTTTTTTGACAGAGCAAAAAACGCCCCCCCCCCCGTCCTCACAGGCATATCCACTCAGTGAAAGTCATGCTTCAATAACTATGGCACTGATTGTCTCTCACATAATTTTCTCAAAACATTTCAGGACATACATTTTATAGTGCTCTTCAATTCAGAATCTTTTCCACAAACTACAATTTCTGCTGAACCCTGCACTGTTAAAGAAAGAAAAAAATAATAACGAACAACTGTCAGCAAGACAGAAAGCTTGTGAGGAATCTGTACTACACAATTCTCCTGAAAATCATTAAATCATATAAGTGAGGAAAAAAAACCCAAAATCCCATAAAATCAAAATAACAATACAAATATATGGACATAAACATGGATTTCAACTACATTGGCACAAAAAAGAAAAGTTTCTGGAACTGTTTTACAGCAATGTTTATCTTTGGCATTATGCACATCAGTGGCTGTGAACGCCTATGAATGACAAGCTTGAAACAATTTTTCATTTATGTTTTTCTTATTATTTCATAACTTTAACACAAACTACAAACTATTGTTCTCTTATAATAAAAAAAATCCCCGTGATGTAGTTTAAGAGACCCTTGAAGAAAGACAAACCTCAATACTTGCATACCCTTGACAAAAATCCCAATTAACTCAAATGCTCACTGTCAATAAAAGCATGCTATCATAATCATAAGGTAACATTCAGCCCTTGCAATCAATTCATTATGAAGAATAGCTATGGTACCTACAAATTATGCCACACATCCATTACAGATAGACTTCCAAAACAAGGGGCATCTATGAAAGGAAAAATGACTGCAAAGGCGCAGACCTATCCAATTTCGGGTACATGTGTGCATTTTTAAGAGCACTGCTTCACTTAGTTGTGTTTAAAACACAGTTATCTCTCTATATGGCAAAATGCTTCACATGAACCACAAACACTGCACTGCTACACTCTTGCATAGGAAGCTGTGAGAGCTCAGTTTGATATTTTATTACTGTGTTCAAGGGATGATGTTTATGGTCATGGAGTTTATAGCAAGTCACCAAAATTCACAATGGCTGTGCAACTGCATCGATAGAAACTGACATTAGCAACTGCAAGTAAAGCACGCTGCAATAACGATCTTACATCTATTTGTCTGAAAACCTGGAGGTGTCAATTCAGCACTGCAGCACTGGCTTCAGCACAAAAAGCTACAAACCGCCATCACACAGTGGCAGCATCAGCCCTCACTGCTTTGGAAGTGGAGATGGAGAAAAACCTATCTAGTATCTGTAAAGCATGGTGCGATAAGGGTCCTGCATCTGACTCTCTGGGACAGCTGACCGACTCATGAGGTCACGCTCCTGAGTGCCTGTGGTTGATGTGGCGTGAGCATGACTGAGTTTGGAGGCACCTGGGTACTGGCGATCCTCTATGAAAGGGTATGGAGTGTTCTGGTGTGGATAGAAGCCGCGGTGTGCAGCCGCAGCAGCATAGTCTCTCTCCAACATGGCGTGTTGTGCTGTCGTCGGGTGGCTGAGGAAAGCACTGTTCACATTGTCCGACACATGCTGGCCATACGCTGCTGTGCCTGCGTACAGGTTGAAGCCACTGTTCACACCAATGCTGGAGAACATGTCTGTTGATGCAGTAGTTGGGGGCAAAGCCCGGAAGTCTTGGATGGCTGCCGTGGCAGCCGCTGCCGCTGTCTGGCGGTAGCGCTCATCAAAGGGTTTGGGTGCCGTTGGGTGTGCAGATCGCGTGTAGTCCAGGGACCCCGGTGAGCCAGAGTAAGGAGTCATGGCATTGGGGAAATAGTTGCTCAGATCAAAACGATCCAGCTGAAAAGAGTCCTGGGTTTGAGATGAAGGCAGACAAGGGAACATTCCACGTTCAGTTGAGGTCCTAGCTGAGGGGTCAAACATAAAGTCCCGACTGCCCAGATAATTCTCTTTGCTGGGAAAGAATGGATTACTTGCAGTTGCCATGTTAGGTTGCCTCTGTAGGTACGGATTCTGCCAGTGTGTCGGCCTACCATCCTGACCAGTCCAGGCATTAGAGAATGGATGTCGTGGCATTGCCTGGGGCATGGGTGGTGCTGGGAACATCTCTGACCCTGGCATGGTAGTTGTGCGACGCAACAAGGAGCTGGAGGTGCTAGAACGCAGAGGAGTCGAGTCTGGTATGCGTGACAGGCTGCTGCGTTCTGTTGGCTGTGGGGTCAGGAACGGTGTAGTCATGGCTTGTCGCGGGAACATGGCCTCCGCCATAAAGCTGTTTGTTACCGGTGGGCCAGAGAACAGGTTGTCTGGTTGACGCAGGTACGAACTCTCTCTACTGCCAGGCACTGTTGCTGCTGAGTGTAGTGAGTTCAGGGATGAAAATGTGTCAAAGGCAGGAGGAGGAGGAGGAGCCCCCACATTGGGAGCGAGAGGCGTGGCTGTCTGTCTCTCTGGAAGACGAGGCAATGCCGACGCTGTATCTCGGGGGTAAAATGACTCGTGATGCCGTTCTGAAGCGGCCAGGGCATCCATTCGACTACGAAGATCTGCAGGTGCCAAGGATGGGAGGGTACCATCAAGATTGGAGGTTATAACAGAGGTGGGAAGGCCAGTAGCAGGAGACTTTGTCATTTCCCTAGACCCGGGCCCAGACTTGTCCACCATGGCCTCTAGCTGTTGCAAGCCACCAGGGGAGGGTACCATACTAGCTCCTCGTGTGTGTGTCAGAGACTTCAGATACTCGTCAAAGTACTCTTTGGCAGCCTCTGTGGTTTGCTGTGAGTGTTCTGGCAGAGGCTGTGGGGGCAGGCTGTAACTGCTCGTGTCTGGCAGAGAGCTGCTGCCATCCCTCACGACACCCTCGGGGGTCTGCTCAGCACTAACGACCCGCTCCGGCTGAGACCTGGGCTCTGGGATTGAGCCATGGGAGTGCTGCATCTCAACTGAGCCAAGCGGCTGCTGCATCTCCACTGAGCCTTGGGGCCGACTCTCCATTCCACCATGGCTGGCCATGTCCATGGAGCTGTGTGAATGCATTTCCACCGAGCCATGAGGGTGATTCGTCTCCACAGAACCATGGTGAGGCATTTCCACTGAGCCCAAAGGCTGCTGTGCGTCTACTGAGCCGGCTGAGTGTAGATTCTCCATAGACGGCACAGAGGGCACTGCGGACATGGGAGCCTCCTCTGAATGGACTGAATGCTGCTGGACCAGATTAGTTGGGGGCGGCACGGAGAACGGTGTATTGGGACCTGGCACAGAAAATGGTGTGTTTGGCCCAGGGACGGAGAAAGGTGCAGGCTCTGGGTCTTCCTGCTCCATCTCATCCTCTGAGCTCTCTGGGGGCGGTGGAGCCGGGGCACGTGGTGGTGTCAGGGGGATATCATTGCTAACTTCATCGTCGTCACTCTCTTCCACCGCATAAGAGGTGGCTTCATCTACAATTTCCTCTTCCACGTTATTCACCATCTGCTCTTCTTCTGGAGCTTTAGCCTCCTCAGAGTCTGCCTGATCTTCAAGACTCTCTGGCTGTGGACATGGGCTCGGAGATCTCCCTTCATCTTCCTTCTCAGTCTCCACTGGCATATTCTCTTCCTCGAGATTGTCTGCATCTGAAAAGTCCCGGTAGGGGCTTGCCACACCCTGTATCATGTTCTCTTCACTGTACTCTGGTGAAGCTGGCCTTGAAGACGCCACTTCTTCGGGTCTGGAGGGCACTTCTACTGGGGGGTCAGGTTGAGATTCTGTTTCAACAACTTCCTCTTCTGCCTCTTCCTCCAACTCCACCTCCTTCTGTACAACAGCAGGTTCTTCTGTTTTTTCTACATTTTCCTTGGTTTCTTCTGCTTCTTCTTTTTCTTCTTTTGTTTCTTCCTCCTTTTCTTTATCCTTTGTTGGTCCCCTTTTACGCCCTGGCCTTTTCTTTACAATTACTTTCTGCATTGATTTCTTCTTTTTTGCAGTTTTAGGAGACTTTGTGGATTTTTTTGCAAGAGCTTTTTTCGCTTTGATTCTGGCACTAGGTTTCCTTTTGGGAGGTGTTTTCTTCTTCAGTTTACTCACCGAAGCCACTTTTTTCACAATCGCTGGGGATTTTCTTGCAGCCAAACGAGGAGAACTGACAGGTCCTGCTGGAGGTTCTGAGGTATTCGGCTTTTTAGGGGAGATCTTTTTCTTCTTTGGGGGGGAGCCGGCCATTTTATTGTCTTCAGCATTCTTGGACTTGTCGACAGACACATCACTACCTCTTTTCCTCTTGCCCTTTACAGTTTTGATGGGTTCGGACTTCTTCTCCACAACATCACTGTCTCCTCGAGCAGGAGACTTCTTTCTTCTAGGAGATTTTTTACCAGAACTTGGATCCGGATGTTCTGCCACCTTTTCAACTTTCTCCTTCGCTTGTCTCTTTTCTTTCTCTTCCAATTTTTGTTTCTTTTTCTTTTCAATTTCTAACATTTTCTCCTCTTTTTCTAGCCTTGCCTTTTCCTTAATTTCTTCTTTCTCTTTTACCTTCATTTCTATTTTTGCTTTTCTTTCCTGTTCTTTTTGGGCAGCCTTTTCCTCTTTTTGTTTCTTCAGCAGTTCCAATTTTTCTTGCCTTTCCTTCTCCTTCAACTCAGCTTTTTCTTGTTTTGCTTGCTCCTTCTTCTCAGCCTTTTCTTTCTTCTCTTTTTCCTTCTGTTCCGTTTTTTCTTTTTTCTCTAGTTCTTTTTTTTCTGCCTTCTCCTTTTTCTCTTGCTCTTTCTTCTCTAACCTCTCTTTCTTTTCAAGTTCTTTTTTATCCGCCTTCTCGATCTTCTCCTTCTCCTTTTTCTCCTGCAACTCATTCTTCCTCAAAAGCTCTTTAGGTGGTGGTGGAAGGGGGGTGAGGACCGTGAGAGCCACTTTGTCCCGTCGAAAGTTGCCAGGAGACTCTTCCTCCGATTCATCATCACTCTTGAACTCGTACAAGTCCTTGGGCCCCCGAAACTCTGGGCTGTTCATACTTTCTCGCACTGGGTCCAAAGCAGTGACTGTTTCCATCGCCTCTTGCTCAATATCTTCCGCAACATGGTGCTGACCAGGAGCCTGACTTTCTGGGGTCACTTCTCCTGCCCCTGAGGTAACTGAGGGAGGAATGTTCCCCGACTCATTCAAACCAGTCTCAGCAGCAACTTTTGTTGTCGAAGGTGTGGCTGGCGAGTCTCTTGCCTTGTCTACACTGTCTGGCACCTGATTGGATGAATCGCTGCTGGCCTCTGAAGAGCCAGGTCTACTGCCAGGGTCTGAGCGGCGAGGCAAGGCCGAAGTATCGATAACCTGATGTACCCTCTTCTTGTGCCAGAACAACGAATTCCGCTGCTTACACTTGAAGTCACAGAGGTGGCACTGCACCGGCTTCTCGTTGGTGTGACTGCGAAAATGTACTTTGAGATTGTCTGCATGACGGAAAGATTTGCTGCAGCCGGGCCAAGTGCAGTGGTAGTTGCGTTCTCCTGGAACAACGAAAAAACAATGATTCGATTAATAACAATGCATGACACTGTTTGGGTTGACTCTTTATCTACGAGGGGGGTAAACCCACTATGCCTGGGGCTTGTTTTTGGTACTAAATCTAAAGATAAAAGACTTATTTTGATAGTTCTTCATCTAACGAATGATATCCTGATAAAAGAGACCTGTTTTCGGCAATTGCCGAAAAGTAATTTGATGTTAAAGTCATCGTAAAGGAAAGTGCCGGAGCCGCTCCCAGCGGCTCACTTGCACAGTGGTACCAACCGCGAGCCACTGGGAACGGCTTGCCGGAGATAAAAGAGTTAAAGAGAAGGAGAAAAGTACAAACAATGTCATCTATTACTGGAAAAAGTTTGCGGCTCGCGAACATGGCCTCGCCGGATCGAGAGCCGCAAAATATGGCTCGAGTGGCTCGCTATCTATTCCAATCCAGTAATGAAAAAATACAAAATTCTTAGCCAATCGACTTTAAAAAAATAATAGAATAGACTTCCTGTTAGCGGATATGAAAGAAAATATAGCACTGACAGACAATTTTCAGTCATTTCAGCACTTTTTTCTGTCCCCTTTGAAATGAAAAAATGAAAAAATGAAAAGAAAAGTGCTCCCCTGACTTCAGTATGTCTCATATTTTCACTTCTATAATAGGCACACATGAATAACTTTCAACTTGAACATTTCTTTGCATTGCTTGAGGCAACCTACCTGTTTGAATAATGCTGTTGTACTTTTATCATTATGACCTTTCAAAGCTGGAAAATTGTTGACTTCATATGATTCCTTTGATATTGCATAATCACTTTTAGTAACCCCAAAATAATGTAATGGAAAAAATCTTCAATATGGTATCACCATCTGATGGATTACTTTTTTACCTTCAGTTTGATGTGCCATATATGGTAGGTGTGTATTTAGTAGGATGTTTTGACACTTTCCTTTGGTGGGGTAGGGGTGTAAAAATAGGTCAGGGAAAAGCCCTGGGCTAGTGGTGGATTTTGGCCTGGTAGGAAAAAAGTTAAGAGCAACAAAGCTGAACTGCCAATTCTTCTGTCTCACCTTTCACCCTAAAGCGAATTTACGTAACAATGTAACCCCCTTTGACTTTGGAAATCAATTTGCTCTGATAACGAGTATTTTTGCAAAAGAAGAATGGGTAATATAAATTTGAAAACACCTGTTGTAAAATAGAAAAAAAAACCAGTTATATGGCAAGCTCAAGAAGATAAAGTTCATAAACGAAATGCTGTAATAATGATTTAAAAATACATAGGTCACAAAATGGACGAAATGGGTGTGCATGGATTCATATACTTTCCAGGTGCTGAAACATAAATATCTATTAAAAGCTTTTCTATTTCATAGAAATGTCCATGAGGGCAATGGTTATGGTACCACTCAGTCACATCGAGTTGAAGAATGTCACACTCATGGAAATGTACCCCTTTGGCATGAGCCTCATATTCAAACTAAAAAACTGCAGAATTACTGATCTATGAAACTGCTGTCATTCATTTTAAAAAATAAGTGCCAATACTTATCGTCTTCAGAAGTGCAAAAGCTTCTCTCAAGATGTACAGTAGTTCTCTTTTCTGTAACTTAGCCACTGAAACTGGATTTTACAGGTTACAGGCCAGGCCTATCTATTACACATATGTTAATTGAATAAAACTTTCACGCATCATAATCTGCAGGAAGAGAAAAAGAGCAGAAAATCCCTTCATTTCTAGCTTTTGACAGATGTGTGTCAAAAACAGTGCCAAGAGACACTGGTCATTGACCCATAGAGCAAACAGTTCCATGATAAATACACGAATGCCATTTGGATCTCGTGAAAATATCTTAAAATTTGCAAACAAAAAGACACAAATAAATTGGGGTTAAACAGAAAACAATATTATTTGAATAATAACTTTTTTGAGAAAATAATTGAAATAACAGAAAAAACGGCACCAATGTAATTATGACAGAAACTTTTCACCTGCATTTAAATGAAGTGTGTTGTTGGTGCACCATATACAGTGAACTAAATCAGCAGAAAAACTTGTTTAAAACACTAGAGCCTATTCTCGTGTATTAACAGGATATCTCGCTGGCCATATCCCTTGTATTTACGGGATGTGCTTTATCGATCGATATCTCCAGTGTTTTTCGGTTACAAGCTACAAGAAGCAGCGAGCCAACAGTTGACCCACTTGTTTCGCATCACGAAAAATTTGGTGAGGTTATGTGTGATACCCTTCGAGCTGTAACAGATTGAGTCAGTCATCCCTGCACAGCGATAAATGATTTTATTATAAATTGAGGGCAAAAAAAAATTGCGTAACCCCCAGACATTGCCATGTCAAAATATTGACAATATACAAACTATTTGGACAAATTAGATGCAGTTTTCTTTTTCTTTGAGAGCATTTCTTTCTTTCTCTTGTTGCATTTTTCTTTTATTATGATAGACTTCACAGTCTTTTTGTGGTTAACGCTTCCATATACTGTAGAAGTGTCAGGTTGCAATGGTTGTTACGTTAAAAATAGCTCAGGCTCAAGTGAGTTAAAGTATACTGGAGTGTCCGAAAGTTTGGCTTCATGGCAATCTATTGGACTCAGAATCATTATGAATGATGCTAATTCAAGGCACTGATAATATCGCCTCTATTCATTAAAGTAACATGGCACTGTATCAAAAAACAGTATATGATTCCTGAAAATCAATTTTTAACACAAACCAAGTGGGATCCTGTGCCTTTCAATACACAAATTGAAGCCACATTTTGATTGTTCACCGTAGTACCTGAAATGCTCATAGAATTTAAAACATCGCTATTACTGAAAGCTAAATTAAAACCAGTTTTATACATACCTGTGTGCGTAATGGCATGGCGTTTCAGATGACTCCGTTTGAAGAAGGAAAAATTACAACCTTCGACATTGCAGAAAAACTTCTTTGGTACCAGGCGATGAAACTCCTCCTGGTGACTCTTGAGGAACTTTGGTGTACGGAAACTACGGCTGCAGCCAGGGATGTTACAGGAATACGGCCGAGTAGCAGTGTGTATCAGTTGATGACCTTTCAGAGCACCTGATGTTTTGAAAGTCTTCTTGCATGTTTCACACGCAAATGGTCGAACCAAAGTATGAACCTGACATGAGAAAATAGTTAAGAGGACTCAGATAATAGAAACTACTGCTGGAACAAACATTATTTTTACAAAATAATACAAAACTGGGGAAAGAATACTGTTGCTGAAATGAGCGGTCATATAAGAAACCCTCATACATTTGAACAACGACAAAAGCAAGGTAAAAATAAAAGATATATATTGTAAAATTATCACAATTTCTTATGCAACCCTACATTTCTGAATGGCCTGTCACCAGTAACAGCTATATGATCTATCTAAATCATACAGGAAGCCGATCACTTCGACTTACCTGTCTCGGCCAACCCATGTTGTGTCACAATGTGGTTTTTTAAAAAGTTTTATTAGAGGTTTTACGGCGCTTGCAACTGCACAAGGTCATATGAGCGCCAAAGGGTGGATGTCAACAGAGAAGTCCTTACAGAAAATCAGACTAACTCTGCTCACCTCTCTAGCTTCAACAGCACAAAGTCTGCTTCGACTATCAAGGCACCCCGGAAATTGCTGGTCACAAGAATGTGACACACATACAAAAGAAGCAGAGGAAAAAGACGATAGTAAGGATTAAGAAACAAAAAGCAGCAGTTCCCTGTTGTAGTTCAGGCACAGTTATGAGCATGACATTGTTGGATCAGCCCATTTACAATTCTACTGTGCATTAGAACGGGAAATGTCCCCCCTTTGGGAATGGCCTAAACACACTTCAGTCAGTGGCACCGCCCTGGGGGGTTCACAATGTGTAGGATGATGCACAATTCCAGCAGAAAGAAAAAGATTCAGTAAAGTCTTCCCCCACTTGGGAATCAAACTTTTGTGGCCATAGTGATAATGGAACATCCCCAAAATACCAGTCTTAACTTGTATGTCTTTAATTTATAATTAAACTCACCTTCCTATGGCGACGCATGTTGTCTTCGGTGGAGAACATTTTACCACAGTCTGGGCACTGCACGTCCCGGTCCCTTGAGGCATGCATGTTCTTGTGGTGCTTGTGCAAGTTGGCCTTATAGTTGGTGCGATACTCACACAGTTCACACTTGAACCGCTTCGGTTCATCGGGGAAGTGCGTGTGAAAATGCACCTGGGTACAGTAAAAATTTGGTTTGCGGTAAAATGAGTATACCAACATAGAATAATAACAGGGGGCTCAGAACAGACAGGAAAAACAGGAGAAGACGCAGAAGACATAACTAGAGGCTTATAATTCTTTAGACCGGCTGAGAGAAATACATCAGATCAAAATAACAGTAACGCTGAGGATAGAAAAAAAAGAAGGAACTAGCGTAGATAGCTTTCCCCCCATCATTTACCACATTCCTATAATAGAAGTAACCCAGTGACCAAGAACAGCCGAGATATAGCAGGCTAAGCCTAAGCTCATAACCTTGAGCGTAAAAAAAAAAAAGGCACATACATCACTGGCAATTTAACACTGGTCGAAAAGAAAGATGCCATTAGTAGGACCATCTAGAGACACCAATCAAACCCTACTTGCAAAATGCTAACCAGAAAAGTTTCTACCCCAACCACCCTGAACAAACTCTAATGGCTGATACACCCAAAACAAACCATAATGTTAAAGGAAGAGGTAAACAATCTCAATTTAAAGCCAGCAAAAATTTTAATCATTTTATCTGTGCAGCTTTGGGTGTTTAAGGGTACCATCATGACATGTCCGTGTTTTTAGTTTTAGTAGGAGTTTTACGGCACTCCCAAATGCAACACAATAAGGTCATATAAGTGCCGAAGATTAGAGGTGTTACAAGAGAGTAACAAACACGAAAAAGAATGAGGGGAGATAGAGACAATAGATTTTTTATAGGAAAGAAGGAGCAAACCACACCAGAGCACCCGCCAACCACACCAGAGCACCCGCCAACCACCCATCATGTCAGTGTTTGTGCAGTCGGGCACAGATAACTCAAACATGCCGGGGACTGACAAATGTGTTCAAAACATCCATTATTCTGGTAAACCGATGTTAAAAAAAAAATAAAGAGATATCAGTTGGGGAATGGCATATTGTACAGGCTATCCGTAACTTTTTATAGTTTTCTGCGACGTGTTATCTGTGCCCGACTGTATTGCTAATCTGCCACACTTCGGTAAAATAACATACCTTGAGAGAGGATGCGTACTTGAACTCTTTGTCACACTGAGAGCACTTGAATGGCGTTGGGCCCTGACAATTATCAGTGTGCTCTTCTATTGTGATTTGGTCGCACTTGATGTAACGGTTACACACCTTGCACAGCTTCATGTCTAGCTTGTCTTTATGCAGTTCGCTGATGTGCTCTAGTAGCTTGGCACGTTCGTCAGTCTCAAAGTCACAGCGAGAGCATGGGAACACCCCATGTGTGAACAGGTGTCTGTTGAGAGAGGCCATCTTAGTGCAGCCATAGTGGCAGTGAGGGCACTTGTAGGGCATGTTCACTTCGAGCATGTGCACCTTCTTCATGTGCCGGCTGAGAGCTGAACGGCCCCGTGCCTGGTGGTCGCACTGGCTGCACTTGACAAAATCGAGGCGCTTCTTGTAGCGCCTCACTGGCTTGTTGTCCTCCCCCGCACTCTCAAGACCGGTGTCCTGGCTCTCCCCGGCTTCTATCTCTGTATTTGTCATCTCATCCTTTGTCTCAGGCTCATGCACCGGCGTGTCTTGCTCAGACCCACCAGATGTTGATGCAATGCTCTCTCCTATATCGGAGGTCTCCACCCTTCCTGACACAACAGAGTCTTTGTCTTGGGGTACTAAAGTCTCGACATTTACATGGTTTGCAACCTGTACTTCACTTTCTGGTGGTGCTAACTGAGACACTTTAGGCTTTCCTGCAGTTTTTTTTCTCTTTTTCGGTTTTGAGGAAGTGGATGATACTTTGCTGCAATCTTTAACACTTTCACCATTTTTACCCAACAAATTCGATTCCTTTGAAACAGAAACACCTTTGCTTTTCGCTTCCTTTTCACTGCTGCACACAGCTGATGTACTTTCTTCAACTTTGCTAAATCCTTCATTCTCATCGTGAACACCATGTTCTTCAGATAACTCTGGAGTATTACTCACAGGCTTTTTGGACTTTTTTTTTCTTTTCACTGAAGTATCAGATTTGACTGCCACCTTAACCTGAGTCTCACTTGTAGGAACATTATCACATTTCGCAGCACTGGTCAATTGGCTACCATCTGCTACCACAGAGTCCACCACATTCGCCACATTACTCTGATCAAGGTCTGAATCGGCACTCTTAGTAGAGATTCCCACCTCAGCAACTACTGCAGTGACTCGCTTTTTAGGCGGTTTTGACGCTGCTGTACCTCCAACAGCTTTGGCCTTCGCATAGTGACTGCTCCCCACAGAAGAGGCACCTCTGCTGGATGTGTGGCCAGCAGAGGCAGAACCAGTCTTTTTGCGGTTCTGTGCAGCATTCTTGGCCTTTGGTGGTTCCTCAAACAGGTCTCTAATGGCGGCCTCCTCTTCTTCTGTCAAACAACACTCTTCTTCAGGAGGTTCGGGCACAAACACAAAATTTTCTATGACATCATTAATTGTCTGTAAGTACTGGGCTGTTCTGTCTGCACATGACACTTCATCCATTGGAATTTCAATTCTTTTCTTTGGAGGTCTCTTTATTTTGACAACTTTTTTATCTGAATTCGCATTTGCAGAAGTCTCAGTAGAAATACTAGGTGCTTGACTCGGGACTTTCAACGTGTCTTTATTACTACAAATGTCAGCAGTAGCTGGAGTGGAGGTAGCGGTGCTACTTGTCTCACTGAGGTGACCATTCGAACAGAGGGTGGCAGGATTGACAGATGAAGTAGCTGATGGGACAAGTTCACATTTAGATTGAGAGTCTACCTTGGTGGAAAGAGAAGCAGGCGGCTCAGCAGAAGAATCGGTTATTACTTTCTCTTGTACAGAAGACGAGACATTTATTCTTTGCAATACTTCGGACGGCACATTTGGAGAAGATGTGTCCTGACACTGCACAGCACCGCTCACAGGCTCAGAGGATCCGGACGCTGGTTCAGTCACTTTTTCACTTACATCCATCTTGTCAATAATGGAACTGTTTCCATTGCTTGGAGATGAAAGGGGTTTTCTTTGCACATAGGTGTCCCCATTCTCAATCACACTAGACCTTTTAGGAGATTTTTTCCTTGATTTTTTACCATGTACGGAGCTCTGAGCAGTAGGTTGGGGTTTGAGTGAGACTGCACTCGGCACAGAAACATTTGTGGATCCCTGTGTGGGAGACAGCTGTGGAACAAGAGATGCAGCCACTTCTTCCAGGGCATTGCTCTCCTTAGGACTGGTGCCAGCCTGCGTCTGACTGGACACCAAGCTTACGGCTGACTTACAGGAGGTAGACAAGTTCATCGGCTCTTCTTGCTCTGGAAGTTGCTGGAAATTCCCACTTTTCACAGCTGGAGTGGAAGAAGAGCCGAGTGACAGCCCTACCTCACAGCCATGCCCCTGTTCAGAGACGACAATATCTGCTGCGATTTCAGAGCTCTTCTCCGAAGAAATAGGGGTATCAAAGCAGTTTTTGCTGTAAACAACATTCGGGGTATTGGAAGCCGAATTATGAATGGCGTTCTGATATGATTCATGAGCCTGTGAATGATCTTTGTGACGAAACTTAGATGGCAAAGATGACGAAGGAGATGAAGATAATGACGATACTTGTGTTGGTAACACTGATGGCGATGTTGGTGTGGTTTGAAGAGAGGCCTTTTCAGACCCCTGTGAGAGTGATGACTCTTCAGGTAAAAGCAGGTGGGTCCCTGAGATCAAGTGGTTATTATTGTTACTAGTTGAACCTGGATGATGAGGTGACAAGTTCCCCAAACTGTGCTTCTGGGAAGATTCACTATGTGAACACACATCCGAAGGAGTAATTGCAGAGACCTTCACCTCAGCACTTTCAACTTGATCTGTAAAAGAAGAGGCTGACGTGGAAGTTGCTTCACCATTGCTTAGACATGCAGGGGTTGATTCAACACTTTCAAATTTTTTGTCATTTCCACGTCGTTTCTTGGGAGGTTTGGGAATTGCCTTTGTCGTCACTTCAGACTTGTTGTTAACCTCACGCTTATTATGGTTATGGTGCAAGCTGGTTGGGGATTTGGTTCCATCATTGTCATTCTTCCCCTCTGATGCTCCACTGCTACTAGGCTGGTGCACATTGCTGGGAGACTTGCTTGACTTCAGCTGTGAAGCAGAGACACCTTTGGACTTTGTTGTTCCTGACGACGTAGAGGAAGATAATGTAGAAGATGTGGATGTACTTGGTAACGCTGCCACCATTTTCCCCCCTCGCTCTACCACAACAACAGATGTCTTGCCCATGCCATCAAGCAGCTTGGCACAGTCTTCTGCATCCAGCACAACTTTTGGGGAGGTCATGCTCATCTTGAGCTTTGCCTCTGTAACCTTCTTGTGATCCTTGTCTACTTTGGTCCTCATCTTGGATATTTGTGATCCCAGACGAAATACAACGCATAAACTCTGTAACCGCTACATTCTCTTGTGTTCACAGCCTTGATCACTGAAAGCAAGATGTGAAAATTTTTTTTTTATGTAGGATTCAATTGTGAGCCCCTGACTAGCATGCCTTTACAGAATTGGACATTTTTTAAAATAAAAAGAGTGTAAAATTTTAAAAAATATTTAAAAAATTTGTTACTTTTCCCTTGATAATAAAAAATAAAATTTGAAAGAAGAACAAGATAAAGATACAGAAACCAGAAAAAAGCCCTCATACACAGTCTCCAACATGACAAAGTAAAACATCCTATGATAAAACATAATTGCTTGAAAGGCCCTTCTTTCTTAGATCCAGGTCAGGAGTTGCACCCATCTCTCCTGTCTGAGACTTGCCGGGGTTTGGGAAGACAGATGTTATGTTTTTGGTTTCCATGTGTATTTTGTTTTTGTTCATCTCCAGACAAAGGGAACCACTTGGAAGCCTATAGCTGATGCCAGGGTTACCCTGGACGAAAATCCCAATTAGATGGCAAGAATTCTTGCCTTCCAACCAAGAATGACCTGAAAGCTAGTTCTATGGACCAGTCATAAGAGATTGAGAGCAGTAGGCCACTATACCCACCTATTTAGACCGAAGTGGCATGGCGGTGAGGGAGGCCTCATCACCTAAGCCACCGAAAGTGTAACTTGAAGAGGATTTGGGGTCTCTCTTTTGTTGGATCCGACTTTCAGTCAGCATGTCAAAAAAAAACAACCCACGATAGATGGACAGAAGACATAGCAAGAAAGAAAAAAAGATGCAACCTCTACGTCAGACAGCTAGTGACGTACAAGTGCCATCCCATCAAGGGGGTGTCCTGTTGATGGGACAGCCAACTATTTTTATTCTATTCCCTGTCAGCTTGGGGAAGGGAGAAAGTAGAAGGAAAAAGAAAGAGGATAAAAGACAGACAATACACCAAAGTATATGTCACTCATGTGTACATGAGTGTAGATGTTCATAGACGACATTTCACTATTGAAGGGAATGCACCTCCTGCTGGTAGAGCAGCAGATTTATTTATTGGCCCCCAACCTACTGAGGGTCGGAATGGATGACCCTGGTTTGAATCCCCAATAAGGCGCTCAGATCGAGGCTGTCTGGAGGAGTTTCAGGCTATCCGCCAATTTGGCACAAACCTATTCGGGAATAGACATTAAATTCAGAAGTCTGCCAAATAACCTTACAATGCTGAAAGCGGCATTAAACCTACAAAATGACCAACCACCATTTATCATCAAGGTAAACACAAAAAAAGGCATTAAATGCTGACTACCTATCTTTAAATAAACTAAGGATTTGGGAGGAAAGTCACATCCAGTCTTACCTCTCGAGGACTATTTTAAAGCATTTCTTGATTTACAAGAAAAACTTACGCTAAACTTACAAATGCTCACTCTTCTCAAACCCTTTCAAATGTACCTTATAAGGCTTCAAAAGATTGTTTTCCAGTTATGAAATAGAAAACATCAGAAATTTAAAAAATATATACTTACATTATAAAGTAAAACAAATCAAATATAACAGTTGCCCTCAACCCATTTCCAAGCTGACACAAGGTCTGCCTATGGCTGCAGAGGAGAAACAGTAAGATCCATTTTTTCACCCATTCCTTTTTGGAGGTCTGCAAAAGAAAAAAAATGACAGTCAACATAAATTTTTTTAATGTGTAGGTCAGTTCACACCTCAGTGTGATCTTGCCTGGGGCAAACATTGTATTGTTATATCGAGTTATACTACGCTTATGTGATCATATTCACGAGAGTGGCTGATCTATGACTTGATGGGCAGTTCAGCCATCCAAACCTTTGACTCCTGTTTGATCGGCTGTGCCTACCCTGGGTTTTGTTCCATAAATTATTAGCTGAAAGGCGGGATCTTAGCCGAATGTAGACCTTCAGAGTGAATCAGAGCGGGATCTTAGGAATGACATTTGTCTAGAAAAATTATGTTTTCTAATAACAGTGGGATCTTAGGTGGTGACTACTGTATTATTTCTTTAGTTTAAGGAAATCCAAGTTTCTTTTTAAACTAGTTTAGCAGTTACCACTGCCGGAAAATGAATCCATTTTCTCTTGCTTTATGCCGTGTTCCACGTACTGATACAGTATGATACACATTGGTACAGGTTAATTTGAATAACATGAAGGTCGTGACCTTATATTCGTGTAATGGGCCAACTGATAACGCTAAAGTAATCATCAATTTCCTAAAAATAATATTGAAATGGAAGACAAAATACATTTCTCAAAGGCAATACATGTAGGTATAAACAGTGAACTGAAAAGGCCAAACAGACTAAACAAAGCATCTGTGGCATTTTCTAGGATTCAGAAGATAAAAGGCACAATTTAATTCCTTCAATGCAGCACACAATATAACAAAGTAATCAAACTTTCAGCACTATATTTTTTTTATCAATACATTTTAGTAACCTATTCAGGAAAATACCCTAAATTATAGATAGTTAAAGAATGCCTACTGAACCAAACCTGTTCAGAAGGTATTCATATAACGTTCCATCTTCCATCTACATCAAAAATGTTAAAAAAGCAGGGGGATGAAAGTAATAGAACTATGGCTATGGATTTGATTGATGGGTAAACTAAAAGAGAGGATGGCATTCTTGATCATGGTTAGCGCAGAAACTGAGCCAAGCGTGTGCTGTAGGGACCTGTGACTGCGCCAGTAGCCTCACTTTTTCATTTTCTTTCTCAGGGAGCAAAACCAGGTCTTGGATTACGGCATATATGGGAAAGGTACATTTTCATTTACAGGACACAGTTACTCTATCAAAAATAAACGAAATAATCGTACAACATGTAAGAAGTATGAAGCAAAGATGAAGGCAAGCATTGGGGTTTCTCAGAAGTCAAGTGTAGAAGAAATTTTTGAAGAATCCCCCACACAACAACAATGCCTTAATCATCTAATAAACTGATAAAACTCATCATTATACTCTGCCTCCCCATCCCAAAACCTTTAAGAACCCATTGTAACACTACAGTATGGTAGCAGAGTCATTATGTGTTGTACTTTCAATGCACTGACTTTTAAACTTTATTTATACTAAATTATACTCACCTGTAGCTTACTGTGTAGGCCTAGTTCAGCATAAGACTGATTGATAATGGTAGTCTTTACTTTATAATTGCACCAGCCAAGGCCTATTTACTTCACGGTCTTCTCTGGTTTTACTGTTATTGTATACAATAAAACAATACTTCGGACAAAAATGAAACAATAAGTTGCTCTTTTGGCCGTTTTCTGCTAAAATTATTCCCATATCTTGATAACTAGTCTAGACCCAGAGCTACAGGAGGAAGAGAAAGTATCAATATTCTCCATTATGATTGCCAGGTTTCCTTGTGAGTTTTGATAACGTGACTACAAACCTAGACATGTTATCAACAAATCCCTTTTCTACAACAACAGACAAACGTTTTATTGTCATACATGCATAGGAAAAAACAAGATTCGACGGACACTTTAATATGAGATTTTCCTTATTTTGTTGAGAACAATATCCATAACCCTCATCTCATCCGTAACCTACTTTGCACAGAACCTTGCCTTGAGCCTGAGTTGCCTGCCTGCGCAAACTTCGATCACTAACGATCTTGAGTTAAATACAGAAAAAATAAAACCCCGATCATTTCGACATCCTGCACATACACATTCCATAGAATCAACCAAATAAAATGAAACATTCCGTGAGCAATAGATGAAATCTGCAATTACTGGCGAATAATTTAAGTAGGTCATTCTTGTAGAAATTGAGAAGCACAGCGTGTTATCATTCTCTGCAAGGCAGGAACGATCATGGAGTAGTGGACCCCATCATTTTTGCCTCGGAAAGGCTATGGAATTGCAATTCGTATCCGAAGCAAGCACTGTTTCAGCTGCATAATCGACTAGTTCCTTCCAAATTGAGAATGCATACATACTTATAGACACAAAACTTACTCATTCATAGCATAAATCATCGAGTAAAAAATAAAAATAAACACTAGATACAACACATACCTCGGCACTACAGCATTATCCTAAAAATAGATTGGATCCTGCATAAACTTGATGGCCAGTGTTTGATTGGTCAATTTTGTTCCAACTATGTTGTCTCACTTCCGCTTTTATCAATGGCGCCAATGCACGAATGATGGCCACAATAACAATAATGTTTTTGTGCGCCTAGTCTGCCCTGTTTCACCCCTGCTCTTACGTCTCACGAAAGAAAAAAATCATAGATATTTATGGTAAATGTTATTTATCGTTTCTAGCTTTTGAATCCTGTAACAGATTCAATATTTGTTGTGCATAGATTCTAGACCGCCGGTAAATTCATTCAGCGAAGAAGGCGGGGAGTGCTGCCTCTATTCTCGGCTCTCGGCCCATAAAATGACTAGATTCTAGATATCTAGATATAGATCTAGATTATAGATCTAGACTCTATGAACTCGTAGTATGAGTGTATGATGAATCAAAGAGTGTGTCCTTTTACTTTTGCTTGCATTAACTTTTTAGATGTTAAATACATAGACTAGAAAACTAGATCTAAATCTAGATCACCTAGAGAGTGATGTCTTGTTGTGCCCACATGTGACACTAGCCTTCTAACTCAACTAACTGCTTCATCAAAACCTCGAAAGCTTATATTGTCTGATTGTTGATTTCTTCAGCTATAAATCTAGATCTAATTCTAGTCTAGCCTAGCAACGGATAAACTGTTCTTGATGTTCGTGCAGCTTGGTAAGGTACAAGGAAGTGGTGAGAATAGGCCACCTCTATTCTCACCCGGAGTGAGAATAGTGCAGGCGAGTCTTGTGGCTATTCTCACCCGGTGCGCGTTCACCAAATTTTGCGTTCAACCTAAACCACAGAATTCTACACTGCGATAACAGAAAAATTGTAGAATTCTGTGCCGTGAACAAACGTTCCATTACAATTGTAGCCTACTAAAAGCGTACAATTTTGTCTGTGGGCAGTGGAGAGAGAGAGAAAGAGAGAGGAGTAGCGCGAGAATTTCCGGGCAAAACAAAATGGCGACCCGCGTAGTTCGGCTCGATTCGAAAAGTTAAATAGCCGTAGCATCTTTGTAGACAACCAAATTAATTTACTTTTGTGTTTTAACATCATTTTTTAACTTTGTTTTGGTCAATTTGATCGTCCACACCGATAGACAGTATTCAGAAAGAGAGAGAGAAGAGGGGAGGAGTTGATCTTGCGAGAACTTCCGGGCGGGTGAGAATAGCCACTTTCGTGAGAATAACCTAGATCTAGATCTAGATTCTAGATCTAGATTCTAGATCTAGACTAGATCTAGATTATGTCTCGCAAGATTCTCACCCCCTCGTTTAGAAATTACCCTAGAGGGATCAGAGCTGAGGTTACTGAGGTTGAATATTGATGCTCCACAGGATAGACCGAATAGTCACACTTTCGTCACAGTCAGTTGGAGCCAAATCCCACAAATTTGGCTCTTTTGGATCGCGCTTGGCCTGGAGAATTTCTTACTCCAAATGTTTTAAAAGAAGAAGGGGACAGAAGAAGCAAGAAGAAAAAAAAGAATTTATAAATAGATCTAGATCTAGATCTATATATATAATAAAAGAAAAAAAATGAAAATGAAGAAATTATAGAGCGTTGATTGCTAATATTATTACTAATCTAGAGAGATCTTGATCTAGATCATCTAGGTCTAATCCAGATATCTAGGACCTAGATTCTAGATTCTTCTAGTTAACACAATTTAACGCCCTCGCCCATTTGGTCTGAATAAATTTATTTTCAACCCTTCTACCGTCGTGCAAGAGCATAAATTGTCTCGGTTTCGTTCGTACACGCTTTCTGTTCCTTGAACCGTAATTTATTGTGTGCAGGTAGAGAGGCCTGCCATCGTTAAGTCAAGTGTGTAAACAATGAATGGTCCGGCTGGCTGCCAGTCCCATATCCCGCGCAGTAGCGTCAGTAGTGAGACATTATTTTTTGGCCAGCACTAATTCTCCGAATGTTTGGGAAAATAAAGCTGGGCACTATTTCTCCGAACGTTCGGGAAAATAAAGCTGGGCACTATTTCTCCGAACACTCTTAAAATCTCATCCTTTCCCGCAAATTTCAGATATATAGATCTATAATTATAGTATAGGCCTACCAAAGATTGTTCGTATACAATATGGTTCAATCAGTCCAAAAAAGTCCGCAGTAAATATTTATATAAAGAAATGCTACAATTCCAAACATTTTTTCGCTACACAGTACAGATCATGACCTGTTGCGTTGCCTATGAAGGGTGCTGCTCTTAAACGTAATGTGTTGTGTTCACTCGTGTGCTGTCTAGATCTAGATCTATGGAGGGTTATTTATTGATAACGACACATAGAACTGGCATCTGCGTTTGTCACTGCTGCGACCAATGTACTGACACTGGCATGCCCCTTAATGTGTGTGATTCCATAAATTTACATGTAATATCCTGTACTTTTTTTTTTTTATTACGCACGTTTAGGGTTAAAACAGCCAATCTTCTTCGGACAGGTGGACACACGCCCTTATTTGTTAATGTTTGTTGTTGTTTATGGGCTGTTCTAATTTTGATTTATTTCTTTCTGTTGTGAAACCTTTCTTTTTCACGTTTTTACTCTCATCTAAAAATCTCTAGACTTGCTCTTGAAAATTGAAATAGATATATAGACCCAAAAATGTGCTCCTGTGTGTGTGTGTGTGTGTGTATGTAAGTGCGTGTGAGTGTGTCTGTGTGTGGTAGTAAGTGGAGAGTGAGGAGTGTGTGTGTGTGTTTGTTTTTCGGGCTTTATTTTAATTCAGCCTTTATTTTAATTCAGGCTTTATTCAGTAACAGTTCAAAGTATACAAAAATAGAAACACAGGATCCATTCACTCCAGGGCTCATGAGTCGTTCGTCTCTTTCAGTTTCACTCATTCATTCAATTCCCGTGTTCTCTCCCGCGGCTCATCCCTGTCCGCATGACTTTCATACCCCACCCCCTCCCTCCAGGCACACACAAAGAAAATCTCACTCATTCCCTTGCACACTGCGAACCATGGACAATAATGTAGGCAAAACCCTGCCTGAGCTGCATTCCTTTCGTTCGTGAGCTGTGGACCAGGCCAGGGGGGTCGGTGTCGTCGTCTTATAGTTGCTGTCGCCTGTGGATACACTCGCACATTCTTCCTTTCACCCGCTCTTTCACTCACACTGTCTCTCCATCCACATCTCAGCTCGTCATATGTTCAAAAGTTGCCCACTGGTCATGTTTAGTTAGTGTGTGTACATGTGCATGATGGTGGTGGGTGTTACTGAAGGTTGTCTGTAGGCGGGCTTGCCATGCGGTGTTCCTTCCCAGACCAGAGGCAGAATGAAAGTTGGCGCAGAACTCTCGCAATAAATAGGCAAAAAATCACGAGGCCGGAAGCCGTTCGGAGAAATAAAGATCGGCACTATTTCTCTGAACGTTCGGAGAAATAGTCACTTCGTTATTTTTTACCTCTGAGAGGCGAAAAATGTTTTTGCATTAATTCTGCATCATAATTTTCCATATCCCGACTTTAATTCTGTAAGAGCGCTTCTTCATCTCATGGGATGGAACGCTTGAAGCTGGCCGAACTATTAGGCTACATAGATCTACATTTAAAAAATATAAATCTACATCACTGTCGATGTCCGGGGTGAGAATATAGGTGGCCATGGTAAAAATAATTTTGCAAAATTCAGAATTATAGAGTCAACTCAGATCTGCTAGATCTAGAAATATATATATATATGACTTTTGATTTATAAATTGATCTACTGCAGAGTTGCCAATTTTCCGGCTAAAGCCTGAGCCTATGTATTAAATATTTTGCACATATGTTAATATCTTATTTGTTTTTAATTAAATACCGTGCACGGCGCTGAGAATTTTATGCCGAAAAGTTTTCAGGCTTTTTTGTAAGAGCCTGCTGGCAACCCTGCTTTTGGTACTTACTACCCATTTCGGGACACTAGTTTTGACCCCACTAAATGATTACTTCTCGTTCTTAACTTTTTGTCGCACGTGCCGATATGGAGAGATTTTATAACCTATCAAACCTATTTTTACAAAACATCAAATTATGGTCAAATTCAGGGAGACATGCCGCCCTCCCTCCCTCCCCCCTTGTTTCTCGCCCTAAAAAAAAACACCTTGACCTTGCCTTTTTTTAAAACAATTTTACTGCTCCTAGGTTTCTCTGATAAAACATCAGTACCGAATATTTAAATCAGTATCAATATCCAGTATTCTGTGTTGATGATGCCAAGTTTAAAGAGACAGGACCCACATTCTTAAGTAGGCCTAGTACCTGATTAGTACAGTAACTTAACTCTTTTCCTACCAGGCCAAAATCCACCACTGGCCCAGGGCTTTTCCCTGACCTTTTTGTACGCCTCTACCCCGCCAAAGGAAAATGTCAAAACATCCAACAAAACACACACAAACCATATCTTACGGCCCATCAAACTAAAGGTCAAAAAATTATCTATCAGATGGTGATAAAATATTGAAGATTTATTCCAATTATATTACTTTGGAGTTTCTAAAAGTGATTATACAATATCGAAGGTGTCGTGTGAAATCAACTATTTTCCAGCTTTGAAAGGTCGTACTTAAAAAGTACAACAGCATCTTGCAAATTTCCCAGGTAGGTTGCCTGAAGTAATGCGAAGAAATGCTGAAAGTTATGTATGTGTACCTAATATAGAAGTGAAAGTATATACTGAAGTCAGGGGAGCGCTTTTTTTTCTCATATTTACGTTTCGAGGGGGACAAAAAAATGCGCTGAAACTGAAATGACTCAAAATCGTCTGTCAGTGCAATATTTACTTCCGTAGCTGCTAACAGGAAGTTTATTCTATTATTTTGAAAACGTGGATCGGACGAGAATTTTGTATCTTTTCATTACTGGATTGGAATAGATAGCGAGCCACTTGAACCGTAATTTGCCGCTCTCTGTCCAGAGGCCAGGTCCGCGAGCTGCAGCGGCTCGTGGTACGGAAAGTGTTAATGTTGGCCTAGTAGGTCTAATACTTAGCCTACTTGTTATCTCAGGCTAACTACAGTCCACTCCACTTGTATCAAAGTAGGTTGTAAAAAAAATCTTCGGACGAAGCAATCTTTTTCCGTGGGACGGGCACCGATGTTCCGTGGGACGGGCACCGATGTAACACAAACTCAATAAAATTAAAACGGTTGTACCGAATTCACTACATCTGTTGGGACGGCTGTAGTGATGTGTATTCTTATCCCCAGCCCATGTAGCTTATATATAGTAAAAATATAACAGTTTTAACAATGTTTCTCCCCGTGGTAAGTTTTGACCTAGCATTGATGAACGTGATTGTGTCTTGTAACGTTACGCACATTCCCACAATAGTACGAAGCATCAGACATTTAGCGAACAATCTCCCACGTGATACTACAGTAGTCTCCGCCTAAACGTACGGTACTCAGGAGGGCTCCTTAGCGTGTGTTTATACGGAGCGTGCGTTTACATGAACTTTTGCAAAGGGAGGAAGGGACGCATTCATCTCATTGCCTTGATATTCTAGTGACCTCCCTTTGGGGTGGGAGTCACTTTGGGCCCGATAATGTGACGACACGTGACTGTTTTGTAAAAGATTCCCCGACTGCGGTTAAGACTGCAAAGGCGTTGAATGGGTGTGTGTATGTGGTGGGGGGGGGGGGGGGGGGAGAAAGACAGACTCGATGTAATGAATGCACCATAAAATGTCGGGAACCAATGGCCTAGTGGTGATAGTCATAGAGACGACGGCCCAGCCACGTGGCTTTCCAAGCGACCACCCCCGACCGTAAATTCATGAACGAGCATTCATGCGTGTTGCGCATCATAGGCTTAGGTCTAACTAAACATTAGCCAACACGCAGTCACTCAAACACCAGTTAGAAACCTTCTCAAAGAGATGCATTTTCAGTGACCAATCAAATAACGTTTCAGTCCCCCAACCCCCCCAACATATCTCCAACCTGTCCTAGACCTATGATGTGTCTGGAAAGTTGTGTGTGAAAATGCTGTCCATCACTCTCTTTGTTCGGCGTAAGGGGCAGTCTCGCAAAATATCCGTTTTTCTAGGCTTGTCTTAGGCAAGCTATGCAGATCGTACAATAGTCGTAGTGAAATTTCCCTTAGTCGAGCTTTACCTGTCAGCGTGTTTCGCAGATTGGAACGTGCGTTTAGGGGGAGTGACCGTGCGTTTGTATGTCTAAATTATATACTGTAGTCTCCGCCTAAGATCCCACCGCTTACGATCCCGGTTCGCTTAAAATCCCGCTGTTTTGTGAAAACAGAATTTTTACTATACAAAAATCACCCCTAAGATCCCGCTCTGATTCACTCTGAAGGTCTACATTCGGCTAAGATCCCGCATTTCAGATCATAATTTGTGGAACAAAAACACGGGTGGGCACAGCTGATCAAACGAGTGAAAAGTTGAGACCAATAAACTGTCCGTCGCGTCAAAGATCAGCCACTATCGTGAATGTAATCACGTACACGTTGTAAAACTGGATGAAGCGATACAAATTTTGCCCCCGGCGTGTGAACTGACCGATGCGTTTGTTTTCCCCACGCATCGCACTCACACCTGAGCTCTCCCCCTAAACTTACATCCCTCGCTGGGTGGATAGGGCCTACATGTTCGTTCCAGGTGGGATCACATCGAACCGTGATCTCTTCCCTGACCATTGCAGTAGGCGTTGATTGCAGCAGTTGTCTCTACTCCCGAATTTGCTAGACAGGCTGAATTTTAATTGGTGTGTTCACAACGTAATGGTGTGTAACGCCAACAGGTAAAGGGGAGGGGCAGCTGAATAAGCGTAGATCTTGAGACTCATGATAGGATAATAAGTGAAAAAGGCATGCCTCATGGCACTATGCACTGTGATAGGCCATCAAGGTTAACCACTCTTTGCTCGCCTTACGTCATAAACCCACCAAGGGGTCACCACGTCAGTTCATTTTAGGGTGGAGGGAGACCATTTTACCTATCCTGGTTCACCTAAGAACCCGCATTTCCTTGCTCCCGAGCACCGGGATCTTAGGCGGAGACTACTGTAGTAAAAAAACAACATCAAAGGACAAAAGCGTGCGTTTGAGCGGAGCGTGCTTTTGTATGGCGTATGTTTAGGCGGAGACTACTGTATTGAGAACTTTACATGATAAAGGCCGATGCTCAATATTAATTCTATAGTAAGATTGAGTACTGGGGTTATTTCCCTTGAATTTGTCTTCCAATGGCTGTGACGAACTTCGGATGTAGCGATCTTTTTTCTGGTCCCCCAACGACATCACTTCATGCATAGTCGACTATTCTCTAAATCTTAGAGGCTTTCAGTGAACTCTTCACACAGTGAAGTCATTGAATCACATAGAGCCGACCTCCACTCAAGGGATCTCGTCAGCTATATCTATCTCGTCACATATACTCGAACCTGTGAAAAACGTGTGGCTAGTTCACCGTCGTGGATTGACAGGCAAACCCATGTCAACCTTTAATTAATAATATTTTTAAAATACAAAACTTGACTTTATTCAATCAAAATCTAAAATTTTCACCTGTCAAGTTGTAGTAGAGAGAGAGAAGGAGAGGATAGAGGGGTGCGGATACGGAATAGACAGAGCCTCTTGTCGTGGTCTAACTTCCTGTTGGCAAAGGATGCAGATAACAACTTCAATGACTCTTAAGTGACTGCTGAATCTGTTAAGAGAGGGCTTTTATAAAGTTAGTTGAAGTCGATTTGTGAATAATTTTCTCGGTATTTTCTCCTGCTGAGAACGCATCACTGACACATGGTAATCGCTGTTTGCATGACTGTGCTGTGTTAGCAAGAGAGACAGACATTATGATTAAGTAACTCAGCACAGCGGAAATATCTTGCCCTCCAACCCCAAATGTTGCAGTCCGTTGTTTACGCGGGGGGAGGTGGTGTGACGAGTTCACTGGTATTTGGATAGATGATACCTACTTTTTTCGGTAAACTCGCCACACGCATTTCAGCTGTGTCGACTTCACAGTATGACGATCATGAGTTCACTGGTTTCCATCTAAGTCTAAGCCATCCTCATTGGAACTGGACTCTATTCACAGTCCGCTCCCTCAAATACTTTTACTTTAACATTATAAATTTTAGGATTTTGCTGGAGTGGTTCCGCATTGACATGTTCCACCCTCTTCAAAATTGATTGTTATTGATTTAAAATTTAAAACCAGTGGAATCTGCTAAACCGATCATGGTTTTATCCAAATAACAGTGAAAATCAAATTTCAAAATGATTTCAGCTACTTGATTATAATTTGATAATTATATTAAAATACTTTTGCTACTTGGCTAACTAACTTAACCTTGGCTATTCTCATTGGACTTGGACTCATTCATTCGCAGTCCATTCTGTCAGTTACTCACTTTATAAATTTTAGGATTTTGTGGGTGGGAACATTTCCACATCATGTGACGTGTTTCAACATCTTTGAAATTAAGGGCAGTAAATTTTTACTTTCACTCCTGCACACAGGTACACTGCTTTGGGAGTCAAACTGCAAGTATTGTTTGCTGCCAATTTCTCAAGCCTCTAAAACTGTCGCAAATCAATTATTTTAAAGAAAATTTCAAACCTAACTGAAAAATATCAAATTAATTTTTAAAAATGAAAAATCAAGTTGAACCCAGAGGCCTTTACTTAAGGATTTGTAGGCATAAGATATCGGTCTATAACTTCCTTTGATTGTTTTTCTTATCAACTTTTTTCAGATGCTGTGAACTGTGTCTTGAAGGAACTGACACTGATCAGAGTAAACCTTTGCTAAAGGAAAGTCTGGGTGAGTTTAATTTGTATGTCCAGATAATTTACACTTTTTTTATCTATCCCCTAAGAATTATGCAAATTTAGATGGCCAAATTATTCGAGACAAATGCAAAATTATGCAAGTTACAGTAAAGCCATTCACGACATATTTAGCACTTTTTCAACAAAAAAATTCATGTTTTAGATCTATGTACAGAAGAATTCCAAACAGTATCCATAGTTTTTTTTGTGTATTTGGAAAGATACACATCAGTCAGAAAAAAAAAACCCAAAATATAATCTCTAACTTTCAGCTGTATAGAGGAAGAAAATGATTTTTACAAATATGGGGGGGGGGGGGGGGGGGGGGGGGACTATGGCGCATCACTAAAACCAGAGACTCCTGTCAAACATAAAAAATCAGCAGACATGAGAACGACTTTTGATGGATTGAAAAACTTAACATGATTCATGCTCAAGGGGGAAAAAAATCCCAAACAAGGGAAATAACCAACTTGTCACTTAAATGAGACTTATTACTCCAACTACTTCCCTTTAGTCACATAGCGAGGCGTTAAAATGTTTTTCTGAAAAATTTTGTGAAAAAATTATGGGAATCCAAAATTATGCAAATGTTGCAGAATTATGCGAGAAAATGTGGCCGCACAATCGCATAATCCGACGTGGACAGTTTCATTGTTCATTTCAGTTTCACAATTACTGCTCTGAACTTATTCAGTTTTGTTTACTAGCTTCTGTAGGTTCTTGTGGGTCTAAAGTGATAAGAATAGGGCGATATACTTATTTTTTAATAGAATAGATGTATTCCCTTCTCTATACGCTTCCCAGAGTGTCAGCTTGTGCTACCTGTTTATATGCTTTATTTGAATAATTGTGTACAATTTTAACCTTTCGAAATATAGAATTTATGTTCACTTATTTAGGAGTGACAGATTAAAGGATCAGTTTTGATGTTTGAAACCTCAGAAATTTAGGTCCCCATCATAATTTTATTCAAGAGTTAGTAGGAAAAATTGAGAGGCAGAAAAAAAGGTGTCCTCTCAATTTTGAGATTTTAGCTTGTGTGGGATATTCTCATTATACTCTGTTGCATAGCTACACAAACAGTAGATAGATTAGGGGAATGTGGGATGCAATGGGGACTGTCTAAAGGCTAGAGCATTCATTTAAACCCAGGCGCAGTAGAGTTCTTTGGAACTAAGTCAGAGAGAGTAGCTTGCCTTCATTAATTAATTATATTGTTTATTAGTACTGAACTGTATACCAAACTGTTGAAACATCTTCTGCGCTTGTTCTTGCTATTACAACTGATATAAACGGCTAGAATTTGCAGTTGGTAGGAGATTTGTTATGACATATTTAAACGTGTGTGTTTCCATCAAATTTCGTGATACTGATAAAAGATTTTTCAATATGATTTTTGTGATGTACAGCTTTTGAATCTAAAGAAATGATCTTATATTTTTTACTGCTGCCAAAATAAACCATATTAATACAGTGGAATCCTGTTGTAACGAGAGGGAGGCGACTGGTGCGAAATGTCCGTTATAGCAGGATTGTCGTTATAAAGGATCCAGTAATATAGTCAAGGGAAATAATAAAGTAGGCCTAATCTATGAGTTTGGTGTTCTGTTTATTTCTTTTTGCTAGATCTATCTCTCCTGGGGATGATTTTATTCAACATGTTCTCTTGGTCTTACGTGACCAAAAATCAAATCAGGTTTCTTTCTCTTGAGCTAGCGATGTTGACAGCTTGGCGTTGGCGTTCAGAAAAGAAGGGCTCTAGGCTAATTTGCCCACTGTGTTGTTCCCCACCCCACCACACCTTGTGGTGCGTTCCTTTGGTTGCGCGCGTCACACATTCGTTCCTTCCATCACAATCACAGTATTGTGACCTCTCCATCCCCACATCGGAGAAGTCAGAGGCATGGTAGGCCTAGATTCTAGACAAGGCTGGCCTATCATGCGATGTGTTCTGTTTGTGCATGCGACACCCTCCCCACTCATTCGCTCCGGCCTTCATTGTTAGCACACGTTGGCTCTCCCATTCTGTTTCGCTCAAGGAGTTGTATGGTCCTTGGTTTTGCTAGATCACCAAGTTTCTCAACGGGCGAGGTTTTTATATGTACAACTGGCCTATGGGCTGTGCACAGCTGCAGCAATATTCCACTATAACCGACTCACGTGTTAATTGCACTATAGCAGTATTTTGTTACGAAGATAAAGGAGGGGAAAAAACAGGGTTTTAGAATTGCGTCTTTATAAAAGACTTCTCGTTATTTCATGTCTCGTTATAAGCGGGCTCCACTGTATTACGGATAATCTTCAGTTTTTTCTATGACTATTAAGTTGGACTTAAGAGCTGATTGACTAATCTAGTTATGTTATTGTTATCATGCTTGTATCTTTCTCAGATTTCAGGAGTTTTTGACTCATGTTTCAAAACGTAAGGTTTGAACTCGAGCAATCAGTTATAAATTGCTCCTCGCTCTCAAATGACTGAACAGAAACCTGCACATTCATATAAATGTGACACCCCCCACCCACCTCAAAAGCAAAACAAAAACCTGTTTTGTAAGTTACAGATTTTCTTTATTAGCTAAGATTACAATGGGGGGGGGGCTCTCGTGGCCTAGAGGTTAAGGTGTTGGCCTCTCATTCAAAGGTCCCGGGTTCGAATCCGGGTAGCGACCGAAAAATTTTCTTCTCTAAAATTGTCTCCTTTCACCTCCTTTCCTGCTCTCTAGCAATGTTCTGTTGTCTGCTTTCAATTCCACTTTCTGCCCCCACCCCCTCACCTCCTTTGCCCCCCTCCTCTGGGCTCCTGACTCTTTCTGCAGCCTTTATACTGCTACTCCTTGGCTCCTCCTTACTGCTGTCTTTCTGCCACACCCCTGACCTTCTGGTAGGAAAGGTCTACACCTAGCCTTCTCGGACAAGGGCGAAAAATCTTTGAGGGGCCGTTTGCAAGTTACGCACGTTAAAGATCCCTTGGTGGTCTAAAATCGATAAGAGTAGGCTTCGGCCGCCACCCGGGCAAAATTCAAAATTTCCTACCAACTGAAAATATTAGGTGTGTCCCGCGCGCTCATATGACCTATGCAGTTGCGAGCGCCGTAAAACACTTTACAAAAACAAAGATTACAATGGTTCTGTATGGCGGTGTTTATCTAGCAGTGGTTGAGTATGAGCTCAGGTGCACAAATCCAGGAGAGGCAGTGCTCAAAAGGTTACATCCATTAATACCCCCACACACCTGAAATATCACTACAGCGCTGCCCAGTGCGACTTAGTTGACCTTGTATTGGTTCACATGTGTATATTCTGTTGTTGCAATTGATCCAATAACGGCTTGGCTTACCTTTGCCCTTCTTCAACTTCAACACAACTTCTGAATAGTAAATGGCTTTTGGTCATAGTGGACTAGATAAGAAGTTCAGGAATGATATATTGTTAGGTCTGTTGGTGAGACTCTGGAGTATGATGTGGATGAGCTAGTTTAGTGTCTATTATGAAACAGCATTGTCTCTTGAACTGCTCAGGCGGACTGTCCGGTAGCAATTGCAGGTGAAGATTAATTCAAATAACATGTCTCATGAATAACCTAATGTGTCTAAAAAGAGATATATATGAATAAAAATTAAACAAGTGGGTAAAGAAAACACTTATTGGCCTTTCGGTAAATGCAATTAACCATTTAATCATTCCTGCCTCTGTCCCACCTCTCTTTTCTTTTATTCCTGTTTCTTTTATCCATATTTTTTACATGGTGTTGTGCGTTTCTGTATGTTAATTTGCAATTTATCATGTTCTTTTATTTGATGTTCACTCCTGTATTCTTCCCAGTTACTGATGACAATGGCCTACAGTGATGAGTATCGCTCAAAGCTGCGGACACCGAAAAAGGAACTGAAGCAGGAACAGATGCCTTGGGAGACAAATAACATGAGCTTCGATCAGCTAGGCTTTGCCAATTTCCCTCACTTAATGTCCACTCCAAGCCCTCTCAAACGTGAGGCAGGGACTTCGGATGACTTATCGAGGTTCGAAAGTCCACACAAATCTGGTTATTTCCTCCGAACACCCAGTCCTCCCCATAAAGTTTCTTCAAACTTTTTGGGTTCTCCAAAGATGTGTAAGCCGGAGCTGCCGGGAACGCCAAGCCCTCACAGAGCAGGCTCGGCAACAGATTTATTTGGCAACCGCTCTCTCCTAGATAACTTGCCTGTCCCAGACTGGGATGAGAATTTCTTGGATAACTTTCAAGAAGACCTCCTTTTTGGATTAGGTAATGAGGATATCGAAGTCTTAATGAAAAGCCCAGCCAAGAGCCCTGGTCGGGCCCAGAGGTTCCTTAGTCCCCTTAAAGGCTCTGCAGGGCTTAGCCCTCTGAAAGGTCCTCTTCTCACATCAAGTCCTAAAGGTATGATGGAGAGTAGCCCAGGCGGTTTGAACAAAACGCCAGCAGTGTGTGGACGCCCTCTTACACGTCAGCGCAGATTGTTCTTGCAGAGTCCTGAAAGGCAAGGTCCACCACAACATTACCAGCCTTCCAATGCCTCAGCCAGTGGCTGGTCTTCTACTGCTACTACATCGTCTTTCTCACCAGTCGACACCTCCACATCTTCCTTATTCAGTAATGAGAGTCAGGAGACAAGTGTGTCCATACAAAACATTTCCACTTATCTCAAACGATTTGATGAGGAAGACCACGAGGAAGAGCTGCCAGTCATGCCCCCAGCAGGCTGGGTGAACAAAGGAGCCCCTACTTTAAAGCCATCCTCTCATAGCAAGGGGAAGCATTTAGCTAAGCACAAGTCGCATTCTGCACACCCTCTGAAAGGAGGACATAGGACTTCAGCTTCTCTGTTCCCAGCTTCAGCCTCTTCTATTGGTTCTAAGAAAGCTCGTGTAGAGCCACAATTCACCCTTCTGAAGCCACAAACAGAAATTCTCAATAATCAGATCTGTCTGCGCATGACCCCCCGCACCCCACCGAATAAGATTAAAATCTCCAGAGATTTTTCGCAGATTCAAACGTTACCTTCTAAAGAACAATTGCGGATAGTGCGTAACCGCTTTAGGGAAACCCTGAACAAAGCAGTGGAACAAGTCATAGAAAAGGAGAAGGAGACACGCAAGGTTAAAGGTCAAAACATGAATGACCCTGAACTAAGAAATGCTCTACAGAGAGTTCCCATAGAACCACAGGTCCTTGTTCAAGCTACCACAATTGCTGCTCCTATCCAGGTGTATGGGGCAGCAGATGTGCCCAGAAAACAGCAAGGGAAAAAGAGAAAGCGTTAAGCTGTTTGTAGTAATTTCACCTGCATATGACATTGGTAAATGTGGGATGGCTCTCATGTATGTCATACCTGAATTTTTATCCTCTTTCATTTTCATTTTAAGAAAATGAACAAAACGTGACTTAAAATTAACGCAAGACCTGACTGTTGTGATGATATGGGTTCACAAATGTTTACTGAATGTCTTTTGAATTCTGAGAATAAGACATGTCATGTTTGTGAAGACTGTAGTTGTGGTTTGTTGTCTTTTTAAAATTTGTTTCCCTCGTAACATGACTATCAGTTTTTGTAAGCTTTAAAGATGTAACATTTCTGAATGCAGTATAAAAAAGACCTTGCATTGCCTGTGTAATGTATCTGTCCTGTATATGTGAGGTCAGTCATGAATTGTGTTGCCTCAACTTTTTTTATTTCAATTACTGGCCACATGCTATCTCTACCTAGTTTGTATAGGCAGTGTGGTCAGAGTCCTGAGTGACCGTTGAGCTAGATTGATGGATAGGACAAACTGGGCAGTCAGGTTGACACTGTTCCTCTACTCATTTCCGTATGTGTAACTGTTCATTGGCTCTTCTCCTCTTTCAGACTTAAGTAAATTAACAGATGCTGAGTTACATGACTTATAAAGATGTGTCTGCCTCTTCAGATGGTACTACTGACAGTGAAGCTTCCTCATTGTTTTGAAAATGCAGCCTCTCTTTTCAATCAGTATGGTGTTAGCCGATGTTAGACTTTTAGGTTTTGAATAGTTTTTCACACTTGAGGTCAAGGTTTCAGAAATCTGACTCCTCTTTTGCTCAAGGATCAACCCCTCCTGACATTTGACATGTCTCTCTCTTTTCTTTCTTCTTTATTAAAAAAATATATTTTTGGTGTAACTCCGGAGTTCACAACTTAAGAAGTACGTGTGTAAGAGTCTGGTCTTTTAGTTAGTTTAGTATGGGGTTTTACGGCGCTCGCAACTGTATAAGGTCATATGAGCGTGCGGAGTCTGGTCTGACCGCAATCTCATTCTTTTGTACCATCATAGAACCACATCTTTTCAGCCTGTCATGAAGACCGCAGTACATGTAGTAGGTTTGTAGTTTACAGGAAAATTACTGGTAGGACTTTATAGCTTTCACTTTATGCTTACAGAGACTTCAAAATGTAGGGGAGTTATTCCATATCTTTTTCTTAAATATTTGTCATGTGATGTATGGTAATGAATAAGGTGACTGTCTGATAAATGTCTGATAATTTGGCTGAATCGTATATAAGAAAAGATACTGAATATGAGTAACATTTATTTATTTAAGATGTGTGGGGAAAATTGCATGTGATGCTTTTGTATATCTGAAATGAGTGAAAGATAAGTTTTTAAAAGAACATGATTTCAAGTTTGTGGGAAGAATTGTTTATACATTTGTAGTGTAGTCTGCAGCATGGGCAAAGTTCTATATGACAAAACAAATAAAACAGACATAGTCTTTATAATGTAATGTTTAATTAATATAAACACATATACTGTACTGTAAGTAGAATATTTCTGTTAATGTAATAGAAACTAATATATCCCCCAGATTATTTTATTAGTGAGAGAACTTGTGACTGCAATAGAATTTTTTTAGTATTTAGGGCCTGGTAACAAAGGAATCTACCATTGTTTTGATACCTAGCTGCAAAATCTCTCTTTTCTTCCTATGAATTTGATATGTGCATACACTGCACACTGTTTGAACTAGGAATCTCGTATAGTGGCGTCTTTCAACTGAAATTTTTGTAAATTTTTACTTGTGGACCAAGTTTTCGTGGGGTTTCACTGTTGAATGGTTTTGTGATTTTTAAATTATTTTTTTTTGCTAAACATACTTTCCAATGCTGACAAAACGGTACAGTTTACATCCCCGTATAGTGTGTGCTCACTTAGTAATGCACTTTAATAATGGGAATATGAATGTATGATATGTTACTAGTAATTTAGTAATAATAAGCATATGATTAATTATGTAACATTTTTTGTATTGTTTCGTAGCGTTTGTTTATTTCCTGCATACATGGAATATTATATGTGCTGCTAGCTCTAGTCTAACCATAAACTTTCACACTGAATCCATGAGTGACAATATAAAAATTTAATCTTGTGAAAGGAATGTCACACAAAAATAGATTATTCTCAATAATTTATGTTGTTCGTGCATGCATGATTCACTGTTGGCCTCAACACAGGTCACCAGCATACACACACAAAAAATTATTATAGATTGCATAAACAGCATAACCAAATTCATGTATGTGTAATAAGATGTCTTACACTGTCAAGTGTAGTCTATGTTTTTGAGCAGGCACTAGACTAGAGACACATAGACAAGAAACAAAACTGTTTGAATGAGGTCACAAACCTAGAAAGTCAAAAGTGTAAAGGTGCCGATTTACTGGACAGATCCGCATTTCTGGTCATCTGGATTTTGCCTGATTTCTTGATACAAGATGTGTGAGAGATCGTGGTGAAATCAGGCGCTCGTCAAAATAATGAAAGCAGAGAAATTTGAATTTTTCTGACCGTTGGGCTTAAAAAAAAATTATCTCTTGATTTTGGCTCAAGAACACCTTTTATATCCATTTAAAACACATTTATTTGTGGATTTTATTGTAATACATTGATTAAAGCCACACAAAAATGTCAATTTTCAGTTTCCAAGGATTCTCAAGCTATAGAAATTACCTAACTTTGGCGGCCATTTTCTCGCTAATGTCACCTCTGAAACCAGGCGGCCGTAACTTCCTTCAATCGCAAATATTTCGAGTGCTATTCAACATATATGGATAATTTAGGCAAATGCACTGGCTTAAGATATATCAGTAACCCCATTTGCCCAAAAACTGATGAGCGCCTGTTTCCACCACATCGCAGCACTTATTATGATCAGTAAGTTTTGAATCCCTGAGAGCGTTTTCAAGGAGTCCAAAAGGTTTAGGTTTTTTTGTTTTAATATATTATTTTTTTGCCAGTTGGCACCTCTGATGGTACTGTGACACGACAAAAATGTTTAGTGAAGAGTGAATGCTTAAGTATAAAGCAGTTATTGTGAGGGCTGCTACTCCAGTTATTTTGTGTCTTTATCATATCACCTAATAATAAATGTTTGACATTTTGCATTGCTTCACAGAGCTATATTAACATTAACCCTATCCATACGCCCTGGGGTCATTTTGTACCCCCCGGGGTTGTATTCTTCACATTTTAGAATACTTGTAGTTGTAGTACGAAGATCTCTTTGAAACTTTCAGTATTTCACAAAAATATTTCGACGGACTGCTATGCAAAGCATACGGATCAGATTAACGAGTAAGTTTCCTCCTTGGAAAGTGGTGGCACAGTTCCTCACGTCGTATGGATACGATAGTACGGATAGGGTCAATGATAATGGCATGTTATATTTTTGTTTGGGGGGGGGTTCTTAAACTGTAAAAACTGAGCATAACGTTTTGGCTGTTTGAACTTGAATTTGTTTTAATTTATTATTAAGATATGCCACTGTGATGTATCAGCATAAACTTTTCTATCTCCACCTCCGAAATGTGTTCAGTTTCATCTAGAAAACAAACCAGCAAATGTGAGACTTATTTTCTGGTTTTGTAAAATTATTTTTCCTCTGACAAGCAGAGTACCATGTATGTATCAGACAAGCAAGCACTACTAGCAGTATACCCTAAACTTCTTGTTGCTTGCCATCTGTTCTGTTGTTATTCAGGTTTGTTGTCTTTACTCAAGGATTAGCCTAACTGCTTCAATGTGCCTTAGGTAAAAGAAAACTAGAAAACCACTTTTACATGTGATCTTTCCATATTTTTTTCTCCTTTAAAAAAAAAAAAACAGTTGAAGGACCCAAGTTTGTCAAGTATTTTTAAAGTCTGGAACATTCCATATACTTATGAATGTATGTACTTATGAGTAATAAGACAAGGGTTTCCCCTTCTTTAAGACTTCCTAATTAGTATAAATGTATGGCTGGGGTTGAAAGCAGAAAAACAGCTTTATTCACGTGGTCAAGACGATCTACTACATTTAAAGACAGTATACATTCATAAGCCTGGGTAAATACATGATACTTATGACACGATTATGAATATTTCAAGTAGTCATTTACCATTATTTGTTAGGTTTGTCGATATTCTAGGTGGTGTTAAAATAAGCAGTTCAAGAGCAGACTGTACACATGCGGATAACTTTAGAACGACAGATGTACGCCATTGGCCGATATTTATAGTAACGGCTATCTTGTTTGACGTCATTGAGGGATTCCCACTTCGTTGTCGTTCACGGTGGCAACACGCTTACAGTGGCGGAGTGGTTAGTGCGCTTGTCTCCAAAGCAGAAAGTCTAGGTTTGAGCCTCGGTTCGGCCACGGGTTGTTGTTTTTTTGCTCAATGATGTCGAACAAGATAGCTGTTACTATAAATGTCTGCCAATGGCGTACATCTGTCGTTCTAAAGTTATCCACATGTGACTATGTACCTCTTGCAAAATTTTACATTGTACCAATAAGAAAAACCAAAGCTTTTTGTCTGGGTGCCTTTCATGTGCTTGTTGTCCATGAGGCAATTTATATCTTTGTTTCTTTTCTTTCATTAAGCCCACGTTGAAGAGGATTATTGACTACTACTACAACGAAATATAGATTGTGTTTTTCATAATGCATCACTGTATTTGTTCTTGTTACTGCAGTGCTCACTTGCGGGGACCAGATTTTGAATAAATAAGGTAAAAGGTGGTTTGTGTCACAATCGTACTTGTAGCATACATTTTTGTGAATAGACATTTTTTGTATGTGTGAGGTTGCTGGAAAATAGACGTATTTCCCAGTCCTTGAAAAATATGTTTGGAGTACTGACAATGTATTGAAGATATGTATAGTTTGCCTCTCGCTATCGTCTGTGTTAGATGGACAATTGGGACTATGATTTAATCTTTCCCAATGGGCCTCAGAATTTCATGACCTTGAATCATTTCGAATTTTTGTCTTCTCTATGTACAGTGGAGTCTGCTCAAATTGAAATCTACAGGCCATTAGATTTTATTCTGTTTAGAAGGCGGGATTTCGATTTTGAGAGGTCACTCGAATAGAAGACAAAAAAGGGTCATTGAATTTATTTTCTTTTGGCTTACCGCAGTTTTCAGATTAACCATGTTCGATTTAAGCTGTACTGTAATTTCCAGAGTGACCAATCACATTAATTCTGACCTCGTAGTTTTCCGCGGGCGCTTGAACAGCGGCACGGCTGCGGGAAAATGGACCAACCACGCCGCGGAATTTTGATTTTTTGCAGAATTTTGAAAGATTTTGCAGCATTATTGTGCTTTCAGTTTCAGACGTAGAATTGGGAGGGAAAAAACCAATTAAATTGAAGCGAACTGACGATATTAGAGTGATCTCCCTCTCACATGAAGTTGGAAATTAGAGCGCTCTCTTTTTTTAAAAAACAAAATTGATATAGATCTGTCTAGATTCTTGTTTGTTTTATAATGGGGTGTCCACTACGGCTGGATCGGGCCGATCGCCTGAAACTGAAGACAAGAACGTTTGTTTCTGAGGGGACGAGTCAGGCGATTGACTGATCCCATCCGTAGTGGGCACCCCGTACAATTATTTATTATTAAGATTTACAGAGCTCGCAACTGCATAGGTCATGATAATATGAGCGCCAAGGGGTGGATGTCACGAGAGGTATAAATTATAAACGGGGAATCAGGCTTACTCTTCTCACCTCTCTAGCCTCAACAGTGCAAAGTCTGCTTTGACTATCAAGGCACCCCGGAAATAGCAGTTCACAAGAGTGACAAACATACGAAAGAAGTAGAGGAAAAATGACGATAGTAAGGATGAGGAAAGCAAAAGCAGCAGTTCCCCCTATTCCCTATGTTATTCCGGCACAGTGTGAACATGACATTGATAAATCAGCCCATTTACATTTCTACTGTACATAGGGAATGGCCTAAAAACACTTCAGTCAGTAGCACTGCCTATATCTAGATTCTATTGTGCATGCACTAGTAGCGGCTATTGTATAGGAGTACAGGCGAGACGAGATTTGTCTTTCAGCAAAAATGGATACATTTTTTAAAGGAAAGAATCCGTTGAAAACAAATGCCGCTGAACGTCAGCTTCAGTTTACCAAAAGCACACATATGTTTGGCGGAAACTGTTCTGTTAGTGCGTATGTAATGTGGTACTTGACCACACCCGTATATCGACGGTGGATGGACATTTCTGTGTTTGTTTCATCTTCAACCGCAGTTTTTTCCTTCTGGGGTGTTTTTAATTCTAATTGCGAGCTCTACCTCTGACTTTAGAATGTTGGGACCATTGTTGTTGCTCGGTTGTGGTAGGGGTGGTCTTTTATCTTCAAATAATTCTCCTAAATATTCTGTCCATCTTCCAGGTTTTCTTTTTTCTCAAACAACATAATTGTCTTTTTTGTCTTCAATGCCTCCTGACAATCAATGACATAGCTCAAACTGCCAGCTCACCTGATTTTGAAATTACCGGTAGTGTCTCACTTCTTTGGGTCACACTTTTGCTATTATTTTTTGTTATGGACGTGTGTTTCTAAACAATAATACTCCCCCTGGGGCAGTGCCACTGACAGTAGTGTCTAGGCCATTCCCAAAGGGGGGACATTTCTCGTTCAAGCATAGTAGAATTGTAAATGGGCTGACTCATGTCACACTCATAACTGCCTGATCTACAACAGGGAACTGCTGCTTTTTCTTTTCTGATCCTTACTATTGTCATTTTCCTCTACTTCTTTTGTATGTTTGTCACTCTCTTGTGACCTGCTATTTCCGGGGTGCCTTGATAGTCGAAGCAGACCTTGTGCTGTTGAAGCTAGAGGGGTGAGCAGTCTAAGTCTGATTCCCTGTAAAGACTTCTCTGTTGACACCCACCCCTTGGCGCTCATATGACCTTATGCAGTTGCGAGCACCGTAAAACCCTCTACTAAGTACTATAAAATAAAAACAATAATACAGATTGTATGCTGCTAATTGCAAGGTTTTTTATTTTATTTACTTTGTCTGTAGTGCTACTTCTCAGCTTATGGTTAATTGGTACTTATATATATTTAAAGCAGAAAACTACGATGTCAGATCATTATGCAGTTGCAAGCGTTGTAAGATGTCTCATAAAACTAAAACTCAGACCAATCACAAGGAGGGTCTGACATGGTTCACCAAGTCAGTTTCCCAGCTACTGAAAGCCTCAGTTACTCCTTTGTTGAGGTTCTTTTTGTGTTTAGTTTTCATGCTGGATGTTCCTCCTCAGGCGTTGTCACATCCAGTGTCCAGCTCCCTCCAGATTACCTGCCTCTCAGTTCTGTACACATGTATAAATAAGTCTGTTAGATTCCACCATATTTTCGTTCACCCTCGCCTATTTAGTTTTAGTAGTGGGTGCCTGGAGTTGGAGATGAAGCAAGGGAAAATACAGACACGTATTTGTTTTCTTTTTCAGTGACTTATTCCAGTTTTATAGCTTTTTGTGCAAATTGACCCCCCAA